ACTTTGAGAGTAATGGTCAATCAAGTCATTGTAGAACGGCAAAATATCATAGAAGGATATCTGTAGTCTTCACCTTTTGACAGTGTTGATTACAGTAAGTGGATTAAAAAAGGGAAGAGGGGCTGTTCTCTTTCAGTTTCTGCCTGGTGCCCATCACTGTAGGATCTCAATGACTCTCTCAGTTTGTCCTAGCCCTACTAAAGATCACGCACCCAGGGTCCACAGGCTGGCAACTGAACTCGGATCCGAAATTTCACTCCATTATTTTAACACCAAACCCATCCTTCCTGCCCATTAAAACTACACTTTTAAGCGATCGTTGCTGTCAAGAGACGTTGATGTTAAGAGCAAACTTTAGTGAGCCTTTTATATGTGCCAGCTGTCAAGAAGCACAAACATTGCTGCTCCTAGACAACAGTACCCATAAGATCAAACCCTAAAGGGACAGAGATATTAAGCAGTCTTAGATTTGTTCTCTCACTCTGGTTACCATATAGACTATATTTCTTACTTTGGGATCTCTAACTTTAGTTAAGATATTCAGTCCCGTCTCCTTCCTTTTCACGGTGCTATCAGTCGAATCCAACCAAATTTTATCTTTCAGCTACTAAATTCAAACTATTTTAAACATCCTGCTTTCATCTTTACAGCTCTCTCCCACTTTTTAACCATGCTACAGCTACAGAAGAATGTACTTGACATATAAAACGTGCATGTGATTCTTTTAACGTTTTAATGCTGTGTATTGTGGTGTAAACACTTCTTCATGCTTTATCTCCTTCCCCATAAATCAGGGGCTAGTATCTTAGAAGTCTCAAAAATGACATGTTTTCTCCATAATATAAATGTAAGACTCTACAACCTGAAACTTGAGTCATTTTTCAAAAATCATCAAAAACAGACCTACAAAATAGCAGATTATCAACTATTTTTTTCTCCCACTCCGTTTTCATGAGAGCATGTGTATAGTACGGGAACAAATACATTAGGAAATTGGTCTTAACGAGGCTATCAGAAAACTAGCATTTTGATCATTCTTTTTTGCCATTTCTGTAGAACAATGACGAGGTAAAATACCTTATTTTGTATCCATACTGACATACAGCACTGAAAAACACAGGTTGGTGGGCACCATAAAAAAAGTGATCTGCTATGAATAGTTCTTGTTTTATTCATGATTAACATGTAGCGTTTACAAGATTAAATTCCAAAACCTATTTCCCTTTTCTTACCATAACTGCACTTAATAAGACTGACCTTACACCGAGATTTTCTGGTGTGTTTGGCTGCCTTAGTAGTGTTACAGTGAAAATGAAATAGCTCAGTCTATTCCTTGGTAAAAGCATTAAGTGATTTTTTTTTTAAATTAAAAACTCCGTAAAACATGGATCATTTTGAAAAAGAACCAACAGCAATGGAGACCACCTGTCTAAAATAATTGTAAGTTATTTCAATGTTAGAAAGAAGAAAGAGCTCCTAAAAATAATTAAGAAAAAGGGGAAAGCAGTTTTAGCAGGTGGGACTGAAAAGTGGTGACATGTTGTAGTACAATACTGAAGGGCTGAAAGACATAACACAGTGTTGCATGATGTGGAAGAGAACGAGGGACCACTGGATTAGCATGCCACTAAAATGTTGGATTAGGTGAGAAGTACAACTCTGAAGTATTGTGATATGAAGGAGTGACACGGAGGCAGAACTGCTGGTAGAGGACAAGATAAATAAAACACTGTCTTTTCTTTGGCACTTTCCAGCAGAAATTTGCTCTTGTATAGTCCACAGCACGACACTCAGTTCTCAAGACTCAACACAAATGCTACAGAAATAACCAAGGACCTTCTGATATTGGTCCAGATAGGCAGAACTCACAACTTTTTTCCACAAGTCTGTGCAACTCCGTTTCCACCAAGCTACTGGCCAACGTATATTATTCCAAAATACTTCTCTTGACGTTTTCCACACAAACATTTCTGCAATGACTTTATTTAGAACATGCACTACATTTTCCCCTAAAGCAATCCCTAGCTTAAGTAGTTTCTGTCTATATTTTTCAGCACATTTTCAAACACAACTTTTTCAATGTCATTTCTCAAAAAAAAAAAAAAAATACCAACTCCTTAAAAAAATCATTATCCAATTCCATAGAATTGTCACAAAAACACAGTATTTCTTCTTGCATCAGAAAGTACAGCTGGAATTTATGGATTGTGAAGGGAACTTGTTTGTAAATATATCCCTTTGGTCAATTAATATCCAAATTGCACTTCTATAAACAATGGAAAAACACAGTGTTGCCAAGTCCCATCATTTTTTACTATTACTTTTTCCTTAAGGACAGTGAAAGTGGGGTAAGAATCTCTACTATGGTAAACTTTCATAATATTTCTACCACTTTCAGTTAGGAAAAAAAAAGGTTTAAAATATGACATACAGCAATCTAAAAACCAAGAGGGCAAGTGATAATTAAATATTATTTTAGAACATTTTCCCCACATAAAGAAAACATATGACTTCTTGGTCTGTATGGGTTACTTAGTATATTCCTGGCTCCTTCCCCAATAGCTCTGAACAAGCTAGCTGTTTTCAACTCAATTTGACAAGGCCAAGCCGGCCTGAATTCCTACCAAGTTGTTAAAATGACATGGTTGAGAGGAAAAAAAAAAAAAAAACCTTTCAAAACACTGAACCTGAATAGCTAAAAGTTGATATTAATACTTTCATGAATATTATGGAATCTCCATTAAATTTTCTCAGAATAAAGTTCTTGATATCCTGTTCTAAATCATGGGGAAGAATTTTACATGATCAACACTTCACCTTCCCACGATATATTTGAGGACTATAAGTTGCGAACACAGATTTATCAGGGAAATGAGGGGTGGGAAAGACGCGTTGCCCTTAAAGATGCACAGATTTATAGCAGTATAGGAAGCGGAAAGATGGTTATCATATAAAAAGGTCCTTAAGGGACAGCGAGGAGCAAAAAGGGAAACATGAGTGATGAGCTGCCAGAGAAGAGGATGTGTGTTGGGAGCAAGGGACAGAGCAAAGTAGCAATAAAAGGAAGTTCCAAGTCAAGCGTGTTATGTCCCAAAGGTGGAGAAGGATACCCAAGCTTACAGTATTGATTGAAACTCAAATTCCCAGTCACATTCCCATCTTGAAACTCAACTGAAACTCACATTCACCAACAGCAACAATGGTAAAAGAATACTCATTAACTATAATGTTCTGTAGATAAACAAGGTCCCAAACTAAAGCTGTTTTCCTTTGCTTTAACACCAATTCCCCTACTTTATTTTCCTTAATAAGAGCAATTGCCTTGAAGATCTCTCTATATAGGGAAGTGACCAGGCTCAAAACGAGTTGGAGTGTGAATTCAAAGCACTCAGCCGAGATCATGCAAGAGTTTTACACTCTGTGAGACCGGAGTAAGCTTCCCTATTTAAGAGCATATTAACAGGGTCCCTGTGGTGAGACAACAATGAGTAAAAAGTGAATTTTGAACCCAAACAAAAACTTATCGCACTCCTACCTTGCCCATCCCAGCAAACTTCAGTAATGTCAAACTCCAAATTACGCCATAGGATTCCTGGTACTCCTAAGTACCCCAAGAGTTTTAAAAATATTTGTAAAGTGGCTACTTTTGAGAAAAAATTACAACAATGGTGAACACGTACAAGCGGGAAGCAAAGAAAAGCAGTTACTTGTGCATTAATATAATTTTCAGAAGGCTATATCAGAAGCTCAAGAAAGAAGAATTACCCAGCAGTCTCTAAACAAGAAATAATGAATTCTCTTCTTAGTCCAGGAGTATCCAGTTCAAAAAGCAAGCTAAATAAAACAGTAAATTATTTCAAAGGATTCTTAGGTCCCAAAATGATTGTTTTAATATTAAAAAAAAAACAAAAAACTTATAGTAAGGGGAAAAAAGAGGGGGAAAAAAGCACATCAAACCCAAGAAAGTTCACCTTAGTTATGGCAGCTTTTCTTCCCATTCTTATGTTGTGAAAAATATGTATATGACAACCAAAGGTATACTTCACAAAACTGTATGACTTTTCTAAAGATTATTTCTGAAGGCAAAGTATTTTCATCTAAAGATTTCCAAGCAGCTAACAAAAATCAGGCAACATTCTTCCTACTTTACAGGGAAAACAGACACAAAGTTAGCTGCTGACCCTAATTTTTAGCTCAATGAAAACAAGCAACCAAGTTCGTACTTACTTCAGCCTGAGCAAAACACGTCCTTATGGGTGAGAGCTAGAGAAGCACATCAGACACCTACAACTGAGGTGTTATGAAGACTAAACATCTAAGGGCCTGACTCAGTTAAGGTGATCCCGGGACGCAGACTACAGGAAACCTCGGTCCCTGCGCCATCAGAGGGAACCGAGAACCTGGGTCTTCCATCTCCCAGGCAACTACTGAACCCACAAAGAGGTATCAAAGGTGGCACTGCTACTGCCACTTCCTTTTCAGGCCACGTTTTACAAGTGGAAGTGGACTGTGGCTACTGTGTGGGAGATTTCTAGATTCAAATTGGAACAGAAGCACACGAACCTCACCTAAATCCCAGCACAGACATTCAGTGAGCCACTCGGAGGCATGCCTTAGACTCATCTGACATGGTCATACAATAAGGCAACCGCAGAACCAGGCCCATTAGGCTGGAGCCCTGCTAGCTCTTCCTAGAGTATAATTACACAATTCTGCCTGTGTCATTTCCAGTGACCCATACTTGGTATTTTCAAGATAAACATTATTATTGGGAGGCTTAAAACTTCATTAGCTCAACGCTGAATAAACACACTGTGCCTAGCAACTATGCTTTAATTCACAGACATGTATTCCTGCCACAGTGACAGCTTTAATGGGTCAGAGCTCACACTCCAGCTGAAGGCACAGCACTCCCAACCATTTGCTTACGCTCACTGGCAGTATTTCAGACGCAAAGACAGTACCAGCTTGCAGTACAACCGAGTAGACGATGTACTGACCTGATTGATGGAGTTGGCAGCACAGGAAGCCAGTCCAGTTCCAAGAGAGGCAAGGAGGAAACAAGTCAAGTCAAAAGGGACCGGAGCCATGGCAAACCCGGCGGACGCAGTGCTTACAACCAGAGCTGCAACACAAGCACAGAGCACAGGTCACCACCAAGGCAGCAACAACCATTTCCTTTATACGTACCACTAGTGATTAAAGGCCTTAAAAACCTTAAAAACATATTGCAGATTAACTTTTTAATTCTTTGGATCAAAGTAGCTCCTTCAAGGCTCAAAGAACAATTAATGCTAATACTCTATAATATAAAGACAACCAAGATGGGAAGAACTGTCACAAATGAAAAGAGAAATCAGAAGCATCAGCACGTTAGTGGAAGAGATGAGAATAAAACATATGACTCTGTATTCCCTATTTTATGGATTTGCTACAGGATCAAGCTTCCTCCTACCATGGAAGAAAAGCAACAGTAATAAAAATCCTGGATTGAGAGTTATTCATTATACCATATATAGTATAATGGAAACTTAAGCAGTCAAGAAAGTCAAAAAGAGAACAAAGACATGCAACCTACACCTGGCAGAGCCGGTAATGTCACTGTATAAGCATTTGTTCACGCTTTCCTTTAGAAATACCCATTTCAGGCACAAGAAGGTACACAAAATTTAAAGGCTTCAAAATTTGAGAGGGTTAACAAAAATCCACTTCAGTTTTGTCATCTAAAATTATAACTTTATTACAGCGTTGCAAATCACATCCTTAAAATGAAAGCGACCTGAGTCTCAATCCAAATATTGTAACTACCCAAATAATAGCTCTTATGGACCTAGCTTTAGGCAAAAAAGGGTACAAAACATTTCTTGTAATATAAAAGTCAACCCACTTATTGAATATCTTGTTCATGGCCTAAAAATTGCAATCTAAAATTAATACATTTATTAAACATTAAACAATATTTCCCATGTAGTTACACATCCTAAACCTCAACTAGCTCAAATTAAAAATACGCATCAAAGCTAGAAGATATTTTTCTAAGAATTCAGATATTATCTTCCTGATTCCTCCAAAGGCTCTTGCTTGTCTGAAGTGAAATGACAAATAAATAGCCTTTGCTGACTGAAGGTATCTGGATTACCTACTAAGCAGCGTTACTGAAGATGAAGAACCATAACGTCACGGCAGAGACCTGTGGGCAAGGACGCGCATGCAAAGGACTGATTTCAAGAGCCGTGCCTGCATAAGAACCTTAGGATTTCATCTTAAAAAGGCAGCGATGAAAACTGCCTGCTCATCAAAACTTTCCTCTAGGTATCAAAAACCATCGACAGCGGGATAGCCATTAATTATTTAGCCTTGTTAACATCCTGTGGATCCGTATGTAGATGGCTGTTACACAAGCTGCCCGCGAGCAGAGGGCATTAGGGTCTCTGCTTTGCACAAAGCTCAGTCCCGTGGGTTTCCTGCCCCACGAGAGCGTAACTGAGTTCAGTACCTGGCTCTCACTGTGCCTCCTTCAGCTAACTCTAAAATAAGACGAATGTGTGCTGGAGCCTTAATCCTCTATGAAACAACCATCGGCTCTGTAAAGACACCGGACAGCTGAATGGGGATGCAAGCATTGCGCATTTCTGAAAGACCAGATCACGTTCGTTTAGGAGTCAAAGGCATATAGCATCTTGGTTTGAAAACTCTCTGGCCCTTCTTAGTAGGGAGCACAAGAAAATATGAAGTTGAGTGAAATTCACTGGTTTACAGCTGACGGAGCTTAAAAACAAAAAAGACACACTCAAAAGACAATAGTGAAACAGGGGCGTTTGCATTTCTAAGAGTGATTACATTCATTTTTCGGCATCATAAATCACACTTTCACTTCCAGACAAGAATTTAATTAAAACTTATCTCAGAGAGCACTTTACACTAATTTATTATGGGAAAACACCAACTCATTTACTGAAGGAGAAAGGTGGAGCAGATTGGCAAACAGGCAGCGCAACGTTGCCACTACGCTGACCTCAAAAGAAATTCTAATACAGTAGAGCTAGAGCGCTAATTAAAGTCCCCATTGATTTCTGCAGATTAATTTCAGTCAGTCATTTCTGTGCGACTTATCAGGATCTCATTAAAAAAGGTTGTAGCACATCCTCCCGCTTATGCAACTGCAACGGGTATTTTTAGCGCAGCGTTCGGAGCGCAAGGTACTCCCTGCCTGTCTCCTCATCCCGCGATTCAAACGCAACTCGTAAGAGCCGATAAGAGAATTCTCCCCTTGGATTGGGAAGTTTATTTTCTTTTACTGTGGAAGCAATAATTTACTCTTCTATTTTCCTCATGGAGGAAAAGTATATTTAATTGAGATGACATCAAGGGAATGAGGTCATTGACTCTGTTTGTTTTTTAATGCCTGTGAGTTTAGTGCTTTAGGGATAAAATTAACTTCACCTTATTGCATAATGGATGGAATTGATCCTTTCAAGATTTGTTAGAGAGAGTTGACATTATATATGCTCTTCAAAAAGAAGTCAGGATTTAAACTTATGATCCCAGTCTAAACCTAATTTTAGGTCTTTTAAAGATATTTACCTTTAACAGAAATCAACAAAGGACATTTGTCTACAATTTCAGTATAAATGAACAAGAAAACGTTAACGGATTGGTGGGGGGAAAAGAAAAGTGAATTACTGTGCTTCCAGCATAAGGACACACTCAGAAATCCTACAGTCTGTATCATGCTTTACATTCCTTTTCAGCTTCATGGCAATTATAAAGATTTATCTATATTTATAACATTCAAATTGCTATGCCATGTGTTTACCTCCCATTAAAAAGTAGCGAAGCCAAAATAAGAGGGCAGAAGCCCAAAGCAAGCCAACTGAACCGTAGATTTCCTTTCTTCCTCTGTACTGATGATCATGTATATACATACATATATGTACACACACACATATACATACATACACATACACACACACACACACACTTTAAATCAAATAATCTGCAGCTTTGTTACCCAGCCTGTTAAAATAAGGAAGACGAAGAAAAGCAAAGGCATTCTACTTCAATTTAGGACACTTCACAGTTCTACTACAAAGGTTCGCGCACTCCTTAAGGAAAAGTAGCTTTCCAAAGGCTGATACGTCGGAAGGGTTTTCCATCCCGAGTTTTCACACTTTGCTTTCCGGAAAGCGAAATGCAATGGACAACAATAGCGTTACAGATTTGACCAGTGCTTTTTTTTTGCAAGCTTAGGTCTGTTCGGGTTAGGCCTATCCAGGGCGTGTTGCAGATTGTAGCCTGCACACTAAAACAGGCCACACTCCTCAAAGGAAAACTTCAGCTTGGAGCAGTACTTTGAAATAAGTTTTTTTATCATATCATATAAAATTAAAATGAAATATTATGAAGAGAGCAGATTGTGACAATCTGTTAATCTATTACATTTTTAAAATGCTTTGTGAAAAACAAACTGTAATAACAGATTATTTTTTTATTTCATGAAAAATAAATTGCAAGGCAGCTACCATTATTAAGCTTTGTATCTTTGATAGGATCACAGTTCCTATTTTAATAATTTCAAATTGAGAACTATTTTCTGACAGGCATATAAAATATATTTATAAGAGAAAATACACGTAGCCTAGCAATAACCTAAACAACAAATACAGATTAATCCTTGTCAAAGCTTCTAGCTATATTAAAACTACCATTTGAATTTTACTCTCAGCTGAAGCAGTGGAAGTGTGCTAAAACTCCACTAAAGTAAACGGGATTTTTTTACTAGAGCAGTTATCAGAATTTTAGCCTATGCACACATATGCACCTTATTTATTCATCGTTGCTATATTACTTAGCAGCTACATAACACTTGGGACCATTACACAAAGCTGGGTAACCGTTATCATCTTCACTTTACAAACAGATGCTGCGTCCAAATAACGAGCAGAGAGATGGAGCCGGATGCTCACGATCACTTCGTGAGTCAGCAGCAAATGTCTCACGTCTCTGATCGCCAGTTTAATAATTCTGTGCTAGAAGATCACCACTGCACAGACACAGACTCTTACGTCACCTTTGATAAACTCTGGTTGCAAACACTTGCTAGTACACAAGACAGGATTGTTTTCTTAGAAGTGGACAAGAAAAATGCATTAATTTTAGACTCCAAACCTGAAAACATTCATAATTTATCATGCTTGTCCACTTCCAAAGTTTTAAATGCAGCTTAGTAAGTGCATGACATAGAAACTGTGGACAATTTTGTAGCTGGCAGTCTTCACTCACAGGTTTTTATATAGCGTTGTGTAGCTAACTCAGATCGGAAGGACTCTCTGGCAATCATCTGACCCAACCTGCAGCTCAAAGTGGAGTCAACACTGAATTCAGGCCAGCTTCATCAGGGTTTTGTCATCTCCAAGGATGAAAATTTCACCTCTCTGGGCAACGTGTTCCAAAGAGTTTGACTCTCCTCATGGGGAAACCTTTTTCCTTACATGATGCCAGAACCTCCTCCCCTCTTTCAATTTATGAAACATGCTTCTCTGCATTGGGATTTACAGCCATATTTAAAAAAAGAATTGGGAATTAAAGTGTAGATACTTCCTATCCTCTTTTTAAAAAAATCTTGGCAACTGATTGGAGAACGTCCAAATTTTCCTTCCTGTGGAGAAGCTACTAATGATCAGATTGCATCAAAATGACTCTGCTCAATTGGACGCGTGACTCCTCTCCTTAAAAAACAAACATCAAACTAACTCATGGGCCTCCTCGGAGTACTGATTATACCAGTCTCACGATTTAGTCCATAACACGCACGTTACATTTGGATGAGAGAAAGCACGGTAGGTTTGATTCTGATCGGACCACAGAAAACTGGGATGACTCTATTAAAGATGTGGAATTACTCCAGATTTACAGAGGTGCAAACAATATCTCAGGCTTGCCTATTTTAGCTCTCTCCTAAGGTAGAGGCCACGGCAAAACCAGTAATAACTTTATGTAATAATAGCTGAGAGTAAATTAACAGGATACTGGGTTGAACTCTGAGAACCAGATACAACCAAACAAGATCTCAAATCCTGAATGAGAGAAACACAGCAAAATGTAGGTCTCCTTTGAGAAAGTTTCCAGATACCTTAATGGATAAGAAAAATAGCAACACACTTAAATTACAGCAAAGGAGGGGTTTTGCCAGACAAAGAGAAGTTCCTCAGCAGTAAGGTCAGTAACACACTGCAGCAGATTGCCTGAGGAAGCTGGAGATCCGTCGCTCTTGGATTGTGTTAAGAACAGACAAGACACCGTCAGTCAGGAGTGACGAACCTAAACTACATCTTGCCTTGGGCAAAAGGTAAGGACTAGATGTCCACCTGAAGCGTCACTTGCAGGTCTCTGTCAATCTGCGGTGACTGCATACACCGAACCAAAGCAAGTTTCTCAGTACGGAAGCTGTTCTGTTCAGATCTGAAACAAGTCTTCAGTAATAAAAGCAGTGTTAATCATGCTTGATTAGAGCCATTATTAAAACACGCTCTGAAAAAATTACTGTCAAAACTCTAAACCGGCTTTGGGCAGTAGGAAGATAAAAGTACTTTGCAACGATACGCCACAAAAAGAACATAAAAATTTTGGGATGGAGACCGTGACTTTGCATAAGGACTCTGTGTAAACAGTAAGCGGTTAATGCATAATTGTGTTGTAAAAAGTATCTTTATAGACACAAATTAATATGTTTGCGAAGACAAATGAAAATGTTAACTGCAGCGTATTAAAATACAAGATAAGGGAAAAAGAGATGAACATATTTGAAACACGTGGGCATCAGCGTGCCTTTCATCAAGCAACTGAAGATTTGTATTACAGTAGCCACGATGGGAACTGAGAGTCAGGACTCCATTTTTCCAGGCACGGCAGAGATATGCTAAAGAGACAGCCCCTTCCTCATTGAGCTGGCAATTTAGATTAAAAACACCATGGCTGTTTAGAAATTAGTAATTCAATTTACATCTGACTGATGTTTACACTCCCATTTCTCAGATATTTCTTACAAAACGTGATACACGTTTGGCTGGTCTTCCTCACCAAAAGACCAACGTGCAAGATGTCCTTTGCTACAGGAGCAACAGCGAGCACATGTTCACATACCATAGCGAAATATCTAATGAGACTATTCAACTTTTGGCATATTGCACCATCAACGCGCTTCTCTCAAATTAAATGAGGATTGAAAACTGAAGGCTGGTTTTCCTGTGTTTATTTGCACATAGCTCATCTTAGTTTTTATCTGTGATCACTGGGGAAACATTACTTAAACGTAAACCCAAAGTTAAATTTCAGAAGATGAGACAACCTGAATTTCTTAACGATGGGTTTGCACTGCAAATTATTAGATTCAATCCTACTACCATTCACATCTTTTTCCTATTTTCAGCTATACATGAACTTTAGAATAAAGTTGAAAATCATGACATTTATAATTCTGAAAACTTATCAGTCGGATGCATTAGCTTTCCAAGTGCCAGGATGGTAAGATACAGCTGTTCAGAGAGCAGCCAAGAGAGACCGACACAGAGAAGAGAAAAGATGGAAATCGAAACCAAAAAGGTAGATTACACAACAAGTAATCAAAAGTTCCCTAATCATTTTTTATGGCAAAAGAATATAAACAAAAAATCTTTTCCTGTTGTGAAGGCAGTTTCTAATGGCAGTGGCGTAAGAGCTGCAGTTTACATGAAGCAGGAGGGTATGGTAATGGTTGAACTCATTTCCGTTCAAAGGTGAATTACAGTTCAGAATACAAACAAACATTCAGCGGCAGGAAAAGAACAGGGCACAAGCACACCCCATTTCAGCATAATGTGCAGTTTGTTTTTTTGTTATTTTATACTCTAAAAAGTATAAATAAAGAGTCAGCCAAAAAACCCACACAGGATATGAGATCTATCAGAACTCCATGGGTGAAATGAATTGAGCTTGCGTGTCATTTAAAAAAAACCTGACTTGAGAGAATTTACTTTTTCTTAAAAAAAATAATAAAAAAAAAATCACTACCATATTCCTTACCGAATATATTTTTTCTGCATGGTTACACAACTCGCAAAAAAGCTAATTCTATTTCCTTGCTCTGCACACTATGCCAAGCATTTTTGCCTCTCCCGTCTCCTGCAGCGTCTTATGACCAAAAAAAGAGCAAGTAACACAACTCCCCTCTTGCAAAACTCTCTTCAACCAAAACTCAACTTATTCTTTTATGCTTTGTAATTCCAATAAAATCTCTCCACCCTAGGACATCTTCCCCTCCAAATACCTAAAATTACAGCAAGAAGAGAGAGGGGCTTGGGGGTTTGTTTTGGTTTTGTTTTTTTCATTTCTTTACCTTCTCAACACACACAAAGTTTACTACTACACTTTACCTTGTATCAAGAGCAGCACATTTGAAAACAGACTTCTACAAAAAAAACATACGAAAAGAAAAGACGATATTGAAGCAAATGCAATTCTGTAACCCTTGCCTTCTACAGGTTTCGAGTACCACCAGATTTTAAAACTGAAGTGGTCCTTTCTGGCGTATCAATATTGACTCGTGCGCTTAAACAAGAGCCTGCTAGAAGCTGTCGACATCTGTGGCATCACTGCCAGGCAACAGTGAGGCCACACCAAAAAAAAAGTATCACTTTTTTTTACTTCTAGAAAAAAGTATTCTTCACTCTTAGCACAGTTCTTGAAACTCCCTTTCTGAGGAGCACCAGGAATACTCGGACACAATACTAACACTGAGCTTACCCATAAGGAATATCAAAATATTTAAGAATGTATGTTTTAAGCACTTAAAACAACAGTTTATTCACTTTAAGTGGTCATTTAATCATGGCATTTTAACTTTATTTCTGAATCCATTGAGTTTTTTAATTTAATTCTACTTCAATAACTAGCACATGCTTCAAGTTCACATAAAAGAGCCACTTAAATAAAATCACCTCGTTGAAAAGATGCCAGATACGAACAATCCAGCAGGATCGTTCACATAATGCTACATTTATTCATGACGGGCATTACAGAAACAAAATACTATTAACGCTGAACAGCCGGGGGGAAAAGGGGAGGGGGGGAGTAAAGACCCATAACAAGCAGAAAAACCAAAAGACTATACTTTAGGTTTAATGTGTCACAAAGCTGTTGCCATTTTGAAGTTTGAGTTTAAAAACCCTGAGAGCTACTGAAGAAGCCAGTGATAGAGTTTTACACTCCTAAATTTGAGATCACGAATGATAATAAGCAAAAGGAATGTGTTAAAGTCTTAAAAGACATGTTTTTCCTTCCTCGAGTCTTCTAACTCAGCTCTTTACCAGCTGGGTAACACGCAGAGAGAGGTAAACATGCAGAGTCCGAGTTTCTTTAAAATACTTAGGAAGAACATTTGGACATACAGACAAGATGAGCTTTGCTAAATTTGAAATATGAGATTTCTCATCAACACTGAAAACTATAAGGCTTTATTAGAGAGAATAAAGCACACCATCGCACACTGTGTGTGTTCAATAATGATTTTTCCATGACAACATAAACATTGCAAGACAAAAAGTTTCAAAAAGTAAATAAAATTCAACATTTTTATTTGATGAAATATAACAAATTGTTATGGCAAAGAACAGTTTTATTATCAAGAATCTCTTTTGCCCACTGAAGAGAGCACCAGAGCAGGGACTTTGGACATTATTTTTCTGTTCCTTGCCCTGATTCAGGAAAGATTCAAGGCCTTGGTCATATCATTACAAATGTCACAGCGTTCCAGCCTCCGGAGGCATAAAGTATATATAGCACTATCTAATGGCAAGGGAGTAATTTATAAATGCTATCTATTACTGTTAGAATAAAGTAAAATAGTTTTAGGCTACAAGGCAACAATGTAACAGACAACCGGTTTGAAGGTGCAACTCTGTTATTGACTAAGGAAGTACCTTATTTTAGAAAACCGAACGGTCAACATTCTTTCTCTGTAAATTATAAAATTATTCTCATTATTTTCTGCTATTGTATTTTCTATTTCAATATGAATTTCACAAGAAGCATCTCCAAAATAAAAGGTAAGGAAATAAGACAGAACACTGGTAAATTTAAGCAAAGAGATTTTAAATACTTAATGCAACATTGTTAAAATCATTTCCTAATCTAGTCTTCCCGCAAAGCATTCTTAATTAATAACGGAAAATTATTCTACTGATAAGCAGCAAGAATAATAAGAATACTATCGACAACTAACAGCAGCACCATCAAGTTTTGCCTTCTTTGGAGCACAGATTTGTACAAACACTTGCTTATGATCCCCAAAAGCTACTTGGCTATACGATGTAAATTCTTCCTCGCTGTTTTTAAACAAACTTAACGGCCAAACTATTAAACACTTTCATAAAACTATTCTCCCCTGCACACATTTGATGGAAATGACCAAGGTAGCCTGGGTCACTAAAGTGAGAATTACTACGTAAAAACATACATAAAACTATGAACATCTCAAAGAACTCTGAAATCAGATAGGACGCCCAGAAGTGAAAAAGTTACCAGTAGTACCTGTAAGCTTAATTTTGGACAAACGTGCCAAAATTCCCGGCAAGTCATCCAGCTGTAGCTTCATTTCTCTCCATTGCCTTTCTTCTTTGGATCCCGCTTTTACTGATGATACCGAACCTTCTACTTCTGCAGCTGACGTCATTTCTCTCAACTCATTTCTGGTTGATGTCTCAGATGAAGGTTGATGAACAGGTGAAATTGGTCTAATCTTGTGCATAACTGTTTTTTCTTGATCTAGTTGTTGACTCTCATGAAAAGGAGGTGCAACTGAATCTGACTTAGGTTTTGCTCGTTGGCTGAGGTCTCTGTTGTGTTGTGTTACATACTAAATAGAATGATAAACATCAAGATGAATACAAGAAGCTGTTTCTGTCCATTTCCTGTTATTATTAACATCGATATTACTATATTATTCTTAAGAAGAAAACTTTCTGTGATGATATGATATTCAGTTAGTCTGAATTTCAAACACTTACTTCATTTGCAAAACAGTTTCTGAAACGGAATAAGATATGGCAAAGGCAGTTTTCCATTTCACAACGGCTTCAATAATTGAGGAATTACTTCTAAATAAAATTATTCCTTCCCTTCTGCAAACTCTTGTTTTAGCCACATTTAACACTACCAGATAATACCATTTAGTTTACAACGCACTACATAACCCTTTAACAAAGACGTACACACACACCCATAAAAAAGCCCAGTCTCCAAATATAAGCACTATATTTTTTGCATCATTGTAATACATGGGGGGAGAAAAAAAAAATCAGAAAAATGCCAGAAAATATAACCCAACTCCTGGGAGGTGGAATCATCTCTCACATTAGTCACTACCTACCCCAAACTTCATGTTAGCTTACTGGATTTGACTTTGTTTTGTAAGGGGAAAAAAAAAAGCTGCAAGGAACAACATACTGAATGGAAAGTTAGGAGACAGTTGTTTCTGTTCCTATACATCTCTTATAGAATAAAGTAAGGAAGGAAAAAAGAGCACTTAGCTTCTCCTATCTTTCAATTTTCTTTCCTAAAATTTCCCTATATATTTCAAGCACCAACAGGTGTAAAAACATATAGCTTTTAGTTAGTTATGTCTGAAAGTTTGCATAAATTAACTATTATAATGAGGAAGAAGAATTTGAAGCTTTTCAACTCTAAATACCTAATCGGAATACAGCTCAAATCAACAAGACCAAAATTTTGAGATGTAGCGACCCACACGTGGAAGGGTTCACCATCTCCTGGTTCAAACAGAACTGATGCTCAAAAAATAACATCTAAACCACCCACTCTTTGCAATCAAAGCAGTCATTAGCTATACGACTTAATCTCATCCGTATTCCATACGGTATTCCAAAATACGAGGACCAGAACACACTCGGGGAAGAGCAAAATATATCTTTGCTACCGCTACCTGTGATACAATTGTTCAACAAAGAAAATGCTGGTTGCAGGGGTTGAACGCTACAGCTCTTTGAACACCAAAACCTAGTGACAAGCAACAGAACGTAACCTGCTGAGTGAAACCGCTCGGGACTTTGGATTCGAACCAACTGTTTTAACTCTCAAAGGGGAACACACTAGCGAGGCAAGTGAGTTCAACTGCCACTAACACGCGCGCTAGCCAAGATCTGCTTTTCTTCGTGGCGGTTTGAGGAACAACCGCTTTAAAACCAGTTTAGGCAGGGTTTCTCGACGCGAGAGGAGCGCTCCACCTCGAAGGCGCAGCAAACCCCCGCCGGGTAGCGGACGGGCCAGGCGCTGCCCTCGCTGCTTCCTGGAGCGTTTCCTCCACCCGCAAGCGGGTTTCGCTGATACAGCGCAGAAAAGGAGCTGCCGGACGAGGCGGACCGCAGGAGGAGCAGCGGGGCAGCGGCGCAGCCCGCGACTTCCC